ATGAATATATTCATGGCCCTTGATTTATCCCCACAGAAAGGTGGGAAGGAAAGGCCATCAGTTAGGGAAGACAATTGTGTGCAAAGACACAGATGAAATTTCCTTCTCCTTTTTGGCTGGGTTTGTTAATATGGAGGTGGTGGAACAAGCCCAGAGTGGCGCTTTGAAATTGTAACTGAGCCTGAAGGTTCACAACCCGCTGCCAGCCAGTGCCAGTGTGGCATGGCCAGGGTAGGGCTGGTAGCAGGAGGTAGAACAGCTCCCAGCCCTGTGCAGGACACCTTGGAGAGCTTTTCCAAGTGAAGCCTTGCCCAGTTGAAGTCAGCAGGGCTGGGGTTGGAGCAGCTGCTCACAAGAGGCTCCCCGGGCTGGGCTGTGACGCTGCCACCGCAGCCTCAGCCCTGCTCCTTGGGCTGCCTTTTTTATAAACCTCTAGAGCTGTGGAGAGTTCAAGAAGAGCTCTGTAGGTCAGGGGTAAGGCCATGTTTACCTGTGTCTGCTCTCTCCACATCCAGCCAGATTCCCAGCTCCTTGGTTCTCATTTCCAGCAGCAGCAAACATTTCACTCACTGCAGGGCTGGGGAAACTGCAACCCCAGAGTCACACTGGGAGTGAGAAGGGGGTCAGTGGTTTTTAGAGAACTGCATGGTGATCAGTGAAAGAATGAGCCCAGTCCTCTGGGCAGGGCTCTGCCAGCAGGGCTGTGATTAGTATTGCCAGCACACACTCACACACAGGCACAGCTGGTTGCTTGGCTAAGGGTAGAGACAATTCAGTCTCCTTTCCCCCCTTCTCTGCAGCTCTCAAAGAAAAACATGAACTGCAGGGCTCACCACAAAAACCTCTCTTAAACTTACTGACCGTATAAAAACTAAGTATTAATTTAAAAATTAAAAGTAATGTTTCTGTGCTTGACTGTTCTCAAGGAAAGGGCACAGAACTCTGCAAGATACACTGAACAATCTGAAATCTGCACCCTTTATAGGGAACAGCACTGAATTTTCTCCCTGGGAAACAGGGAAAATAGGTTTCCTTCATCTGCTAATCTGGAGCAAAAGTCTGGAGAGGGGAAAGGGCATCCTAATAGGTGATAGGATCGGGTGCTCGAGCTATAAAAACTTAGTTCCCCAGAGCAGCATCAGGAAGGCAGCTTTAAAACCATCAGCCCCTGAAGTTCCCTGTGTGTCACAGTCTGCCTGTCCAAGGACAGGCTCTAGTTCTGTGCCCTGACAAATAATCACAATGACCAGACGGGAAACAGGTTCCAGAAAGTTCTTTGACGTTTTCCCCCACCCACACTCTGTTCCAGTCCCAGTCCATCAGTACTTGATTCACAGTGAGGCTTTGGGCACCAACTCTTCTTCCTCTATAGAGTATGAACTTTTGATCTGTTTGTCTAATCCTCAACTGGTTTGAGGTGTTTCAGTACTGATGATTTTTCTGCAAGAGATTTCTTGAGCAGAAATAGAGCCTCAGTGAATCAAAAAAAAAAATCTTCCAAGCCAGGAATGAGAAAGATGTGAGAGGGGAGGAGAGGGGAAGCCTCCACATACCTCCTAAGAAAGTTTCTGGAGAGGTTCTTATGAATAGGGGAATCTGAACAAAGGAATTAAAAGCTCGTGGGAAATGGCTGACCCAGCATCCCTCCAGGAGCATAAAGAGCTGTGCTGATTCACTGCATGCCCTTTGCATCAGGCTGCCCTTTGTCAAACCTCGCCTGGTAAATGCTTCAAAAGGATCTGGGCAGCAGCTCTGCCAGCCTCAGGAGAGGCTCAGCCTGAACTTTGGGGTTTTTTCCTGTTCTGCATCTCTCCACAAATGGGTTCCCAGAGCTTGGAATCCAGCCTACACAGGGAATTTGGATATCACCTTGACATCCAAAACCCACATCCAGCCAGATGACTGCCTTGAGTTGCACTCCAAGGGCTGAGTGCTGCAGGGATGGCAGTGGGCAAGGAGGAAGGGAGAGGCTTGATGTTCTGCTGGAAATCTGAATTTTACAGTACACATCACCTCCTGAAATCTGCCTTAGCTGCCTTTTTTTTTTTTTTTCCAAATTAAATGTTACAGCAGCACTGGATACACGAATAAGACACAGCCTGCAGAACATGCCCTGCCTCATGCCTGTGAAGATAAGTACCTGTTGCCTATCAAATGCTATCATTCCAGCATTCTCAACATTAAAGGCTCAGAGCTTGACAGGCCTGGAATGTCTTTGCTTCACAGCAGAACAGGGAACTGCTTTGCAAAAGTGCTCTTTGCATCAAAGAAACAAGAATTGATGCTTTTCAAGTCTAAGTTGAGGCAGCTTCGCTGCTAACCCTCAGCTAAAAGCCTCTGTCCTGTGAACCAGTTCATGGGCATTTCCTACCAAGAGGGATTATTATAGATTAGGCACAAGTTTTTTATTTGTAACATCAGCAAAATTAAAGCAGACACCAGACCCAAGATGAAAACAATCCCTACAAATCACCAACAATAATTATAGGAACACACTGAATATTTCTTTGATTCACCATTAACTCCAGTAATGAGTCACACAAGAGTTCTAATTGCATCCATGAATGAGCCACTCTCTTAAAAGTTGTCCTTGGATCTGCAAGGAAACAACTCTGTGTACAGATCCAGAGGGAGGATTTTAAAGATAAAGTACTTCAGCTAAAAGCTGTACAAGTACTGATTGCTGCTCCTCAGCACTATGAGTAGGTCAGATACTGAAATATGGACAATTTCACAGGATTTAAAAGGAACACTGTGCCATTTAAGGCACCCACAGAAAAGGCAGCAAATTGTAGTTGTTGGAAGAGACACCTTTGTTGAACACCTACCATCCCACGCCACAATCCAGCCTCCTCTCACAGGGAAGGAGGAGTTGCTCTGGCAAACAGACACTGTCTAGGGTTGGAATGCCCTCACCCTGGACACAGAAAGGATCCTGATCCACCCAGCACACATCCCAAATTCTGCCATCCATCCCCTGAGCAGGGAGCTGCAACTCCTCTGAGGGAAGGAGGTAGGAGAGTTTGAGTTTCAATAGAGATGCACTTTGGCACTAAAAGTCCCTTTCCAAACCATAATGACCCTATGAAGTGGCACAGCAGCCTGAAGAGCTCCCCTCCCCAAAACCCTAAGCAGGAAAGAGGAGATGCTGCAGGAATCCCAGCTGCTCTCTTTTTTTTTTTTTTTATTCCTACATGTTAAATGGATTTGCCACTTTAATATTCTCTTAAAGCAAGCCTCAAAGCTGGTAGATGCATTTAAATTCTCTCCCTTACAGCACAGAGAGCAAGCCCCTCTCCACCTCCTTTTTGAGCAGAAGCTGCTACCCATAACCTACCAGGAATGTAGCAGGTGATCCCCCTGCCAACCCCATCTTCACCTTGTGTACTGAGCCTACAAATCAGGCTCCAGAGGGGAAAAGCAGTGTGCTGGCACCTTCCTGCACCTTCAGGTTGTATTAAAAACTGACATCATGTGGCAGCTGTGTGTTAAAGAAGACCCTCAATTATCCCCCTGCTGCTTTATCCTTCTTCAGGCTAAACAAACCCAACTGGAATTTCTAGCATGTGGACTCTTCCAATGCATCAGTCAACGTGCCATGCAGGTGTTTCCAGCAGCAGCAGCAGCTGTGGCTGCATCTTAAAGAGCTCTGAGCAAGGACCTGGATCGAGGAGGGGAGAAAAGGAGTGACAATAGGGTTGGGTGTCAGGCAGAGCAAGGAGAAAGGCACAGCAAAAACATTTCAGTTATACAGATGTACTCCACCACGGTCCAGGAGATAATTTTGTCCTCCTAAAGGCCAGAAACTCCCCTGGAGAAACAGTAGAATAGTATGTTATAAAGTAATGCTTTTACTTTGATGTTTAATTACCCCCTCAGTCCACAAGTTTCTCCCCGGTTGGTTCACTCTGCAGCCTTCCCAAGAGCTACAGAGCAAAGAGTGATTACCCCTTTGTCCCAACAGCACAACTGCAACCTGAGTGAGCTCTGTCACTGCAGAGCTCTTGTGCTGCCCAGCAGCAAAATGTCCAGGGCAGGCTGAATTGGGAACAGGCTGCTGGCCCCCACATCATCACAGCCAAGGATGCAAGACAAAGCTATGCCTGATTAACATACATGAATTTTAATCAGGAATCAATTGCCATATATTAGGAACAGAAGCCCTGGACAGCTTCTGCCTCCCTGCTCCTTCTATCTGGTAAGATAAGGGAGCCTCACAGCAATATTCCAACTCCTTTGTGCTGGTGGAAAGGCAGAAACAAAGCCCCAGAACACCAGGGTGAGTATTTCTGATGAGTGTGCCTGGTGCTGGAGCTGCCCTTGCTACTCTACATAGACTTGGTGAAATAAAGAACATCAGAAACTGGGCATAGCCCAGCCAGCCTTACTTTACAGGAACAACTTCCACAGATCTGGTCACCTCCAAGGAGGAAGGGCAGTGTCATGGGTGTCATTCCTACAATCATCCAGCTGTAGCACCTTACCTGCTAGAAAGGACTTTTGCATCAAGATCTGGGGGACAATTTCCCAATGGTAGAAGCAAAACAGCCTGGGCCTGGCCTTTTCCTCGTGTTGAACTGGCCAGTCCTTGCCCCCAGCTAAGCTTTGAAATGTAGATTATAAAAACCAACCACCAGCATGGGCTCCAGAGATAAGAGGAGCACCATTCTGAAGGTGAGGCTGTGCTCTGAACAGCCTCAGGTATTGTTACATAAAACAGCAAGGTAGGTGAGGTGAGCAAATGCTCCCAGCTCTCACATATCAGACCACCTGCAGGACACTTGATAACACATTTACTTATCAGGTTGAATAGGAATTACAATTCTGATTCCAGCCCTGAAATTCTCATTTACATTTCTGACCTCCAGGAAGTTTCCACTTCCTTGCCCCTTTCAGGAGGTTGGACTTCAGGTATTTTTTTTCACACTTCCCTCAGTGCAGAGACTGAGGGACTGGTTCACATAAGGAAAGCTAAACAATTAAGTAAAGTACTTGCCAAAATAACTTTATTTCCTTTGAGTATTCCAATATTTACAAACATACCTTTGTAACTTTCCAAGACAGCGCCATCTGAGCACTAAACAATTCTCTGAACTTAAGACACTTTTGGTTTAACAACCACTGCATGAGAACAGGTTTTCTTTCTGCTCTCAAAGTCCAAAATTAGGTCTGAAGCTGAATTGCTTGGCAACAGAAACAAGCCACATATTTCCTTCCATAAAAAGTAATTTCTTTACAGCCTCATTTTGCACACAGGGACTAATTATAAGCAGATTCTTTACTGGGTTTATTATGGGTCACTGGGATATTAAAGTGCATTCTGTTCATTAACTCTCCACAGTGCCACACACACCTGTCAGAAATCAGAATGACAACACTGGTGTGGGCTCGTGGTTTTAAGGAGGGGTTTCTGTTGGGACTCAGTCACTGGCCTTCTGCATGTGTGAATGTTTCTGGTTAGGGCCAGTTGGCACTTTGATGTTCAACAAGAGAGCTGTTTGTGAAGCTTTCAGCACCACCAGTCCGTGGTCAAGGCTGATTAACCATCAGTAATCACAAATGGTATTCAGGGTTTGTATTTAAACAAAAGTGAAAACATGGGGGTTACTCCAGAGTGCAAGGACATTTTAATTCAAGCCCTGAGCCCAACATCCCTCTTTTAACTGCCTCCAAACTGGCCACAAGTAGATAAACAGGAACTGGCTGCAATGGTAAATAACACATCACCATTTCTCTGAGGAGGCCATATTCTACATTTTCTAACTTTGAAATGTTAAACAAATTTTATCATTTCAAAATAGTGCTTTATGTTAATATAAATATTTCCAGAACAGTGGCTAATTCTATCTGCAGATATAAGTAATTTTATTATTAACAAAAATCTATTCATTTACTCTGAACAAGAACAGTAGACACACATTGTCTTAAAAAATTCTCAGTCCTTAAAATAATCTCAAACCATCAGCACTGATGGGAATTCCTGAGCAGTGGCCAAAGAACTGCTGTTAACCCTTAGAACAAAAGGTAAGCATCAATCTTCTGGCACTCATAGCAAGCCACACTGTCCAAAACCCACTCCCTGGTCACCATGGCAATGTTGTTCTGCTGCTGCATTGCTGGAAGACAAACACACAGAGGATGCCACTGTTAGCAGGGAGTCAAAGCAAATTAAAGGTGAGACTACTGATGTCTGTCAGAGGAAGCTATGTGCTTTCTGTGTAACATTTTAAAAGCCTTGATAAAAAAAAAACCACAAAAAAAGTCTAAAAACAGTGCAGGTAATCCTGCTGCTCCAAAGAGAAGAGCTGGGTGGCCACTGGCCAAGCAGGAAATAGTGAATACCACAGAATAAACATGAAAAGCAAAGAATGCAGTCCTTGTTATCTTTTCATTTCAGGCCTCAGTGACAGAGCTTTGGTTCCTGTCTGCCCAGACACACTAAGGATGTGACAAGCAATGAGCCTCATTAAGACACAAGCAACATAAAATTACTGAAGTACTTTCAGGCTGCTCTTCCCCATTCCAGGATCTTTTTGTTTTCTCGTTTTTCCAGTCCCATGGAAACAGCTGGGTTTTTTTTTTTTTACATCATCCTCCTACTTCACTTTTTTGTTCAAATTCACTGTAAACTAACTAGCTCCCATTCATTCTGGAACTCCCACTATCTCATCTAAAAGTAAGTCAGTCTGGAACACTTGGGACTTTCAAAGCCTCATGGTTTTTCTAGAGCATTTTTCTTGAAAGAAAAAAGGCAAAGTTATATCAGTTAAGACTTTTTGGCAAGACATCGTTTCTGTAAAGCCAATGATACACAGAGGACAACTGAGCCAACAGCATTCACCTGCCAGAGCAGGTTTTAAGATTCTATTGTTGATTCTTTCAAGACATACCTCCATCCCCAGATGCAGCAGGATTTTATTCTGATTCCTCTACAAACCTCTCTGATATTTGGCTATTAAAAGGACAGAGGTGACAAAGACACTGAATGTGTACCAGGAAACAGCCCATGACAGGGTCACTTTACCTCTATAATCTGTGTTTTCCTTCCAAGCATCTGGTTGCACAACCACAACAGCAGTAGAGTTCTAGGATTTTAAGATAAAAAAAAAAATAAATAAAAATGCTACTGTTATCTGTCTGTCCTTAAATGATTCTCATATCTATCTGCAGAGAGCAATAATTGGGCTAACTCTGCTTCAGAGCATCACTTCAGAGAGGAATTTAGGAAGTAGTAGAGAGAGAAAGACATTAGCACCTAAGATTCTTCTGTGATTTCTCTCCAGGAATGACATGACTACGTTCAGGCACTTTTTGTGACAGCAAGTGAGGCTCAAGTGCTGATTTCAAGACAGATTAATTATCTGGCCAACTTCCCTACTGCAGGTGAGCCTGCCTTCTGGTGCAGAGGACACAGGGGCACTGCCTCCCCAGCACTCAAACACATCTGCAGGCTTCAGGCTCTGAGAAGCCCGGGCAGGGCAGCAAATCTGTCACCAGAGCTGTCCGCGAGGTAACTGTGGGAGGGTAACACTCAGCAACACTTACTGATGAATGGGTGAAGAGATGAAGCTGCTTCACCACAGAGGCACCACAAAGCTCCACCATCCACTCCAGGTGCTCTGAAGAGATCAGATGAACAGTCTGTTATTTCAGTGTTTTGTATCAGGTTGAAATGGGAATTATTCCCTGAGCCCTCAGGCATTTGTTCCAAGCTGCCATAATGTGGGAGAGTTGTTAGCTTTGGTGGAATGTAAGACCTTCCACTTCCAAACCTGCTGGGGAGCATCAACTCCATCTTCCCTCAGCCTCCAGTCAAGGTCTACACCAAACAAAACACTGAAAAAGCAAAAGCAGCAACGTGCCCAAACTTCACAGTCACAATTTACTTCCTCTGATCATAAGAGATGAGAAATGCAAGGCATCAAATGAAAGTTGAAAACCAGAAGTTAGAACTGTGATTATCTCTCATTAACTAAAGTAGTCAAAGTACTTAATTTCCACCAATTTGTTGAACTGATGGTGAAGAAGATAAATAAGTCTCTCAAGAGCCACAACTGACTGTCACTGCAGCAGGTGAAAGCACTGCATCCTCTGCAGCAATTACTCTAAATGTCAAGAGATGTGAGGATATTTCACCCAGTCAAAAATAAAATCATTGGACAAATCAGAAAACACCTGATAAACAAGCCACAAAAAATTTTAAGTGGAAAAAATCTTAGCTTAAATTCTCAAAACATTTAATATAGTTCATTAAACTTCAAAATAACTAAGTAAAGCTGTGGTGCACAGCTTTTTCTTTGCATACAAACTTCTGGTTTTGTTGTGTTTCAACTTTTAATACCTGCTCCTACAGATAGAAGGTTACACAGAGGACTGTCATCTGCTAGAAGAAGGATACTTAGGAACCATTTACTAAGAGGAAAAAAATGCTTAAATACAAGTATTCAAGAGCATCTAAAAATTACCAAAATTACACTAATGGTTTTCCTTGCTAAGAACTCATTTAATTCCACCAAAATGACACACCTGTAGCCATATCAGTGAAAGGTCCACAGCAACAGATCTCAAAGCCTTTAAAGATCTGAAAAGAAAGGCACACGTTAACAGAGCACATTTGGGGGTTTTTAAAGGTCAGTGTTAATTTTGGTGGTTTCACTGCACTTCCAGGGCTTGTTATCAAGTTATTCCTATTTTCACTGTTTCATTTGCAGCCCTGACATGCTCATACCTTTCCAGTCCCAGCCTGCCTGGCCCTCTTGGGGCCTTGGTGGTTTCGCCCGTTGATGACGTCTCCCCTGACTTCAAACTTCTCCTGGAACACAAACACACCCAAGCAATCAGGAATCAGAGACTGGGAACACCTTCCTGTCAGTTCTTCTGCACCAGACCAGGAAGGTGACAGATTGCAGGGCTGGAAAGCTCCAAATTCGTGTGTGCAGAAAGTGGATTAAAATGAAAAGGCTTTTCGAGAGAAAAAGCTGGAGGAGAGCAGGAATGAAACCCCTGCACCATCAGGCAGCTTTAAAAGAAACAAATTACAGACAGACTGTACAGCAGTCTAGAAACAGAGAAAAGAAGCAGCACATTCCATGACTACAATGAACTTATCAGTAAAGTCTCATTTGATGGAAATTATCAGTACACAGCATTCCCTTAGGCAAAGGAAATGTTTTGCTCTAAGCCACGATCCATCAATATCAGTAGGAATGCTTATATATAAAAAAAAAATATGTCTACAACCTGTTAACAAAATAACAGGGACTTGATGTCTTCAGTAACAATGAATACCAAGTATTAGTGTGATTTTTGGTCAGGTTTCAGACCAGAGTTCAATATATTAAATGTTTAGACAATATCTGGGATTACTGGCAAGCCCATCAGTGTTTACCCATTGTGACATTTCACTCAAGACAAAAGACCTACCTCATCCAGTATCCTTTCTTCTTTAAGTGACTGAATCACCCCTAAATTAAAAAAAAAAAAAAAAAAATCAGAGCACAAGTAATTTCATCCAGCAAAATTGTTCTTCCACTGCCAGTAGTCTGACTTCATTGCTATATTAAATTGGAGTTATTTGTACTAAAGGAATGCTATAATACAAAGTATGTATGATGCTGAAAGAACTTCAGAAATTTATTTACCTTTTATAAATAATATTAACTTTACACTAATTGATGCCATGCACCTCAAAGATTTAAATTAAGAGGGGAAAAAAAGACTTTTACCAGGGTGGGGAGCAATTCAATGTGGTTATTTGAAAGCAGAAAATTAAAGAATCTTGACGTTGCTGTTTGCTTGGGTTTTTTAATTCTAATTTATCTTTAAGCATTTAGAAGAAACACTGCAAAACATCAGATTCCAAGACACGAAGAGATCCTTTCTCCTTACTGTAAGAAGTGGAGGTGACATTTGTGGTGGAAGGGCAAAGAGTGTTCACCTCTGAAACAAATTATACCTACACTGATAACTAACCACCCATTTTCTTCCTGCAATGCCCAGGAAGTACTTCAGTGTCCGTTCACACACCAGCTCCTCATCTGCAGAGAAAACAAGAGTAACATCATCTCTTTCAGTTCTTCCATCAGCAAAACAAAAAACCCAGATCAGGTTATTTGTACCTAGAAGTTTTCTGTGAAGCAAAAATATCAAAACTATAGAAAGATTCAAGTGTCCTGATTTTACTAAACTGAAGGAAACCAGCAGAGACTAATCACATGTACCACTTATGAATGATTTTTTAGTTATTTAATGCAAATAAGAGACAAGAAAAAGCATGATTTCTTTGGGAACCACCTTCATTTCTTTTGGTTGGTTATGAACTACTTCACACTAATGTGCTGTAAACACCTGAAAATTATGCCTAAACAGCTAGAGAAACAAATATCCAATATTCTTGTGTGAATCACCCAAGGAAAAATGCACCCTCACTCTGATTCTGTGAAACACAGTAAGAAAGATTCCCATGCTTGAACAAAAAATTTATGATGAACAATCAACACCTTCTCCTCAAACTCATTCCAATTTATTGCTGACCTGTCTGCTTGTTGGTCAGACTAAAGGTAAAATTCTATATGGTCTGTCAATACAGGATTTGGTCACACAGCCCCCAACAAACCTGTTTTCATTATGACATGGGTTGTTCCTTCAGTAATGTGATTAGATAAAGTGCTCTGAGTTTTTCTCACAAACTTCTGGACCACCAACTGAAAAGCAGGTAAGAAAATTAGTAGGCAGCAAAACAGATTTAAACCCAAACAGCCCCCAGTTTGCAGGACCATAAACAGCCTGTTTGCATAAACAGTCCCTTTAAAATAACAGTTTTATTTTTGTTGCCACACAGAATGGACATTTCCTTAAAAGCCACTCAACCAGTCCCTTGCCCAGGCCCAAGGCTGTCTAGAACTCCTCTGGCTTTGGAATAATGTGGTTTTCCCCCCAGACATCAGGAGTCACTTTAGAAGCTCAAATTCCACTAACCTGCCCATTACAGGCAGCATCCTTCACATTTTTAGGAGTGGGGAAGTTTGACTTGAGTTGCTGTGTTACTCATCTGCAGCTTCCACAAGCTTAGTTTCTGTTATGCTTAGAGATGCCTCCTTTGAGGACTGCAGTGGTAATCAGGAATCGTTAATTACTGATCTCAGACTTCTGATATTTACTTACATGTTCGCTGTGATTCAGACCTGATGCCACAATTGACATTTGTTTCCTCTTGGTCACAACTGGGCTCGCAGCATTTTCTTTGCCAGCTGCACTGGGCAGAACAGGTGCAGGACAACACACATTTCTCTTCAATCTGTGTCCTGGACCACGGCTTTTATTTGTGTTCTGAGACACAACAGACCCATTTGAGGCTTCTGCAGTTCTAGGGTTAAGAGGCTTTAGGGAGGAGGAAGAGTTATTTGGACTCTTGATCACATTTGCAGAGAGATTTGATGAGGCAGATGCACTGTTTTGCCTGGTCCCAGATTCCTGCTCCTCTGCATTTTCTGAAGGAAAAGAGAAATAACTCCTTGAGAAAATTTCATCTTTCTTGTAGTCATGGTAGAAGGCTGTTGGGTCTCTCTACCTTTTAGGTTTAAAATCTGCAGTCACTTCCTTTCCTTATATGTTTATTATTTCATCTTTGCCTCTATCATTACTTTTTCCTTTTTATAGTGAAGACAAACCAGAACACCTGTGAAACTTCTAGTAGTGTATTAGTCAAAAATCATGAATTTAGAAGTGAGACAGAAAAGCTCCTATTAGTGTCAAAATGCTGTCCCACCCCATCCTGATGGGCAGCCACACAGCTGGGCTACCAAACAAGCAGTAACATCTTTTTAAATTGACCAGGGACACACAAATTAAAATCCTTGATTTACAAGGAGATGTTGTATGTCTTGCTGGTGTGTAAAAAAGCATGAAAAGAGCAGGGAAAAACCCACCAAAATTCAAAATGTGTTGGCTCCCTCTTCAATTGGTTACCTGCTTTGAGCTGACACTGCCTGTATTCCTGCACTGCTTCCTGCACAGGTTTTGTCTTTGCACAAGGAGCTTTGCTCTTTAGAACATTTTCACACTCAGGGCCTTTCTCCAGATCTGGTCTCTTTACCAAACAGGATTCAGAAGATGGAAGCAACAATTCTGGAGACCTTGAGAGAGGGAAACTGATTTTAACACCTTTTTCACTCTTCTAAGTATCAGTCATGTCTCGACAGCAAAGGTATTGTAATGGCTCAGGAGTATTTATTTCAAGATTTTAAGTTTTTTTTTAATAGAAGTTTAGAAATAAAACCAAACCAAACCAAACAAACAAAACCAAAACACTGACCTTCCTTTTTCTCGTCCCATTTGTTCCATCCCACGTGTTCTTTCACTACTGGCACGTGGCAGTTCACTATTGACAGGCAACAATTCACAGGCCTGACTTCCTTGTTGCTTTAGTGCTGCTTCAAGCACTGCCATTTCTTGCTGAAGCTTTTTCAGGCTATTCTGCATAGCATTCTTTTGCTGCAGAGGAGACACAGGAGTGCCAGCATCAGCAAACTCAGGATTTACCAAATGCTTGAAAATTAGGAGCAGTAGAATTGTTTTGAATCACTTCTTGCCACGTGTTCAAAGGGTGACTGTGGTGCTTTTAGTGTTGCAAATAGTGCAACACCCCCCACCAGCAGAAGCAAAAACCCCCAACCAACCACACACTCATTTTGCCAGTCACATTATCTCAGTTTAGATCAGAGTTTAATCAGTGAGAAAAAATAGAACTTATGCACAAATTTAGGTAATTTTGTCCAATCTGCACTAGTTACTTAATTTAAAATTTAATAATGAACATCAAGTATTGAGTCTCTGCACTTTCCACCATTACTAAGAGCCCCAAAGACCATTTAAAGGATTAAAATATTTCCATATTACTTTTCCTTATCTCCCCTCTCAAAAATTACATTAAATGTTTAAAAACACCCCACAGGCAGCTCCTCGTAAGAACAGCTCAGGGCTTCAAAGGATCCTTTTAAAAACCCAAACCCCTTTCACCCTACATGATAAAGCACTTTCCACAGAACTGAATATTCCAGTTATAGCTCCAGCACTGGCACCATGTGGAAATTCCTTGTTACTGAATCCATAAAAAAAAAACAACCAACCAACCAAACAGAAAACCACTGCCACACCACCACAAGCCAGAACTCCCCACCAATCTTTACTGCCATAAATCCATTCAATCCAGGCACATCCTACAATATCTGTCAATGAAGCCACATCAGGAAGCAACGTCCTGCCAGCTGATCACATTTTACACCGATGCAGTAAACAACTCATAAAGCACAACATTTAAGTTCACTCTTCTCTGACACAAAGCTACTTCTAGCATTTAGTGCCCAAACTCACCTGTGTAGTGAGGATTTCACCCTGAGAGAAAGGTTCACATGAATCTTCCACAATACTCGTTTCACTCTCATATCCAGATGCCTCGCCTTGAAGGAGGTGGAAAAACAAGAAATCTGAGTTAAAGGAAAAAAAAAAACCCACCAAGATACAACTAACCAATCAATATTATACATAATCTCTTACTACACAGATCTTTTAGACAACTACTAACTATAATGCTACAGTGACAAGTTTTGAGAACACTGAAATTAGAAGCACTTTAGGACCTACTTTAAGGGAACATTTCAAAGAATACCATGTCATACACATGGCAAAGTAAACAGAACTCAGCGTGTCAACAGTGATAAAAAGAGAGTCCTAAACATTTATGAGAGCCATAAAAATGGCATAATATTTGCCACAAAAACTCTACAGCCAATTTCAACAAACATTTCATATGGGGGGAAAAACTTAGGTAGGCTGTATGAAATTTTGCTGACAATGCAAGTAGCACATTGCAACATCCCTCAAAAACGAGTGTCCCATCAGACAGCCTCTGGTGTCCAGCCTGTTCATTTGTGCTCTGAGCAAAGAAGACTGGGAGAACAGAACTTTCAGGAAATAAACCACTGAGGGTTTTTTGGTTGGTTGTTTAGGGCTGACACATTCCTTTTGAGAGCAAGCACCTCGTAAATACAGAAGAAAGTTCCCCCACAAAAACCAACGTGTAGTGACATTACAAACACAGCTGCAGAGATGAAAATCTTGGTTTGTACCTAGGTTTGCTCCCATGGTTGGGTCTTCTTGGCATTCATCTTTGGAGCTAGTGTTGGTCCTCTTCAGCCTTCCATCACAACTCTGAAGAGTTTCTTTACTCTCATTCACACTGGTCACTTCTTCGGATGCATCAACTTGTGGCAAAGGTTTCTTCAGCTCTTGTGCATCATTAACTGATTCTTCAGACATGGACTGGGAAGAAAATAAGTTGACAGAGCATTCTGACTCCTGGCTTGGTGAAACACAGGCATTGCCTGGGGCAACTTCAGGCATTTTCTGCATCATACTGGCACCATTACTTCCACTGTGAGGCAGCACATCGGGACTAGCTGAGCCCTCTATCACAGATGCCACTTGTTTATCGACCTGCAAAGGTGTGCTTACTGATTTGCCAAATATCAGTGACTGAAAACAGGGTGGATCTTCCTCCTCGCAGGATTCTTCATCCGAAGACGGCAGTTTCTGTGCTCGCCTTCGGGGCTTTTGAAAACCTCGAGATCTCGGCTGAGAACCAGCATTTCTATCGTGTAGTTCTTTTCCCAGGGCACTTTCACCTCCTTTCACGAACACTGCAGATTGCTCTCTCCTATCAGTGTCACCAAAGCTGGTGTTCTCTTCACTATCAGAGCACAGTAAGCCATCAGGAGTGTCAGACAAACCTGTAAATCCACTGTTCCCTCTAAGAGCCTCTGCAACTAAACACTCAGACACTGCTGTGCTAGCAGTTTGGGTGGCTTGTTCTTCATTCCCCTCTATTTGTTTTCTTTTGCTACTTTTTTTCCCAATGACATCATGGCTGAATTCAGCAGGGCTTTGCTGACAACTTGGAGGACAAATCATTGACCCGGATTGAAAATGTAGAATTGGTTCTTTGTCATCAACAACTTTGGTCTTTTCTTTCAGATTGCTTTCTGATATTTCATGGCCCGTGTTTAAACTGGTTTGTTTGGAATCATGCTCTTCTGTGTTACTCTGCTCACTTTGGCTTCTATTACTTCTGACTGGATTCTGTCTCAACTCACTTTCTATCCCTGTGTCAGTTGACACAGCCTTTTCACTGCCCTGCTTTCCTTTTAGTGATTGGTTTTCAGCCTCAGACCCAGCAGCCCCTGTTCTCACTGGTGTCAGAGTCCCTTCCTTTGCAGCCTGTGAAACAGCCTGTCTGTCTTCTGTGCTGATGGCAGAGCAGCTCACATGATCAACACAGGCAGACCCACAGCTCTTAAGCTTCTCTTTCTCACTCAAGCTTTCAGCAGTTGTTCTCTCTTCTTGCAAGTCTTCTGCTTGTAAATCTTTGCTGTCCTTATTTCCTACCTGAGCAGCAAGTGATGGATTTAAAGTTTCAGAATCAGGGTTTTCTGCTGCAGGGGTCTGCCTGGGGGCCTGATAGAGGCTGAAGGACAAGCGTTTCGAGTGCCTGAATATGTTTCTCAGATACTGCGTGTCTAAGTCACTGTCCTCAGCTTCCTTGGCCAACTCCAGAACAGTTTTAGCCAGGGGCAACTTTTCAGGTCTGAAGTCTCCTGGAACAGTTTGTGAATCGTGCCCACATTCCTGGGGAAAAGCAGTAAGTGATTCAGTCACCTCTTGAGTCTGATGGGAAGCAGTTTGCTCAGCAGGCACTGAAGGAGGCTGGAGGAGGACAGGGCTACCTGGTATTTCACTGTCCTGAGAACCTGCATGAGGTGCAAAGGAACCACAGTTTGCAGGCTGACATGAAGGTGCAGGATTGAAGAGACTTTTTCCAGTTTCTGCCGTGTCAGATGAACTCTTCAGACTAACCTGCACTTCATTTGCTTCCAGATCACCTCCCTTCAGACCAGCAACTGCCTCGAAACTCAACGCGCCCCGAGGCTCACGCAGCTCTTTGCATTCAGCAGCCTGAGCTGCCACATTCCTCTGGTCTCCCAAGGCAGATCCTCCATGATCACTGTGATTCTTTCTTGGTTCCTTTATTACTCCTTTTCCAGTTTCTTTTGCCATTTCTTCAGAAAGTGCCTGGAGCCTCCTGCTGCGCCTGACCCGGGTGTGCTCCGAGTCAGCTCTCCTGGGCTCTCCGCTGCTGGGATAGCTGTCGATCTGTGGCTCAGCTGGCTCGGGGGAAACAGAGTTTCTGTCCACTACTAACTGCAGAGCACACATGGTCCTGGTGGAATGCCTGCATCTTTTTGCTGCAGAGCTTTTTTTAGCGCTTTTCTGATCACTGACACGCATTTTTGGCTCCCCGTCGCGGTGCTTGCTCGTCGCCTTCTCAGTAGCTTTTTTCCACGGGGCCCCTCCTCCTTCCTCACGTTCTGTTAGTGTGTTATCAACTCTATTCTGAGAGAGGTGACTCTCATTAACAGCAACACTTCCATCACATCTTTCCTTTTCAGCATCTCCAGGGCACCTGCTAACACTCTGAGGGCCTCCACCTGCCTCTTCTGTGTCTTTTTTCCTGATGAAATCCTCAGGTTGCAGGACATGGGCAGTCTTCCTTTTACTTTTGGGTCTGTCCCTGCTGGAATTATTCAAGGACTTATCAGCAGCCACATCTTCCTTTTTTGCAGCAGATAAAATATCTCTGACAGTAGAAGGGGGATTTGATTTCCTCTCTCTCCTGTATGTTTTTCCAAATATTTTGTCCTTGATGCTATCTGCTGTTTGGTTTGACCGTCTCTTGTTTCTCTCCACCACTGCAATTTCCACGGAATCCACCACAGGGTCAGTATTTTCTGAAATGCAGCATTCCTTCTCTGAGGAACGTGCATCTCCTTCATCTGAAACATCAGTGGCTCCATCAGCAGAATCATCCAGGGAAGAACTGGAAGACAGAATCTCGTTGCTTTTTGAGAACCATTCATTGACTTTCTGAATGCTTCGCTTCAGCCTCTTCCTGGAGACTCGAGTCACGGCGGCAGAGGGAAGTGTCTTCTCTGCCTGAAGTAGCTTCTCCTGAGGAAGTTCTTTGTCATGGAAAGAGTCATTCTCAGGTTCAGACACCTCCACAGCATCCACTTCCTTGCTTTTACCCAGCCTGCACCCTGAACTATCTTTTAAGTCAAACTCTTCGTTTTTACTGTCAGACTGAGTTTGCTCTTCATCCGTTTCTTCCGTGCTCTCCAAGAACGATGTGCCCCTGTTCACTGTGGGACTGGAATCACTTATTCTGTCACACTGCTCTGAAGATAGATCTGCAGGAAGAGCATTTAAAGGAGGACTCTGGCATTCAGTCACATTCACTTGGCCAGGTTTGGCACATTCAGCGACGCTCTGAGCGCTTTCCTTGCTCGAGCCTTCCTTCGAGAAACCACTTTCACCTGTTAGATTTTTAAGTGTTGCAAATTATTAAGCCCTATTTTACACACATAAAACACAGCAATAAGCTTAATGGCTATTTGTTTTACAAGAACTGTTCTTATTTCCCCCCAACCAGAGTATTCCACTGCACAAATCTCCCTCTAGAGAAAAGCAGAGATATTACACATGTTCTTCTAACTTCCTACATGAATTACCACAGTGCTCTCTGTCTGTACTGTAAGGGATAATATGGCTTACATAGAATACATTTTGCATTTTGATTTTCCTGTGCACAAAATGTTCACATTTTAAGTACCTAGACAACCAGAACAGTCTTGTATTACAGTGTCACGTAGGCATCAGCAGAACTACACCACACAAGCCTGCAACTATATTTATATCTACCTATCTTGATATATTCAGTACTGTGAAATAAAAATATTAACTTGTGGTGCTTCTTTCAAACTTAAATCACCTCTGTCACCAAAATAACAAAACACACCTATGATATTTGGCAGTGTTATTTCTTTGGCACACAGCTTGTCAGGCTGTGCACTGTAAGAATTTTCACTCCCCTTCTCAACATTCTCAAGTTCTTCTGGCTTTCCTTGAGGAGAAATTTGAGCTGCAGCTTTGTCTTCCAACCTGTTGGGAAGGGAAATCTACTTTTACTACAGAGAAAGCCACAACAGACAGAATAGAAGATTATACTTATTTTTTTTTTTACCTTTTTGCTCTCTGAAATAGTTCCTGGGGAAGTCAGGCTGCAGAATTGACACTCACCACACCCAGACCCCTTCAGAGTTTCAGGCCACATCTTTAAGAGATCCCCTCTCACATTCCTGAATTTAACACTCACTTTCTAAAGCACTGTACCTACTTTTCTACTGAAGGACTGATGTCTATGTAAGCAACAAAACATTTAGCAAATCATTTAAAGCACGTAACATGGCAAAGTGTTGAAATTCAGCCACCCATTCTACCCAATCATTTGTCAGTTTTAAGAATCCTGTCAGTCCTATGCTAAGGAACCAAAACCTAGAACTTTACACTGAACTATTGTCTTTAGAAGATATGAATTCCTCAATCACCTTCACTTACCCAGTTTTGCTTGCCTGTTTAAAAAACTCTTCAGATGATTCAGAACCTGAAAACAAAAAAATCAGCTGTTACTCTGGTTGGAATGATTCAGAGAAAGGTGACTTGCTAGATTCAGTGTTTATCATCACATGCACACCTAGATCGTCCTGGAGATAGATGTTTTCAGCTTTTATCAGATGAAATCAAGTTCAATCATAAAGTATTTCACCTAATTATGATTTCTGTGGATAAATATCAACATGGCTCCAGCATAACATTCACTTTAAATACAGTGACTGGTAACAGAGAGCTACCAAGAGTTATTTAGCTAAAAGTCAGCATCTAATTTCTAAATTCATACATGAAACAGCTGCTACTATTTGTATTTTTGAACTGGAAGTCAGAGCAATATATTCTAAAGTTTGTCTCAGATCCTCCTGGCAGAAGCAACAAAGAAAAAAGCAAGGCAATGAACACCAGCTGCTAAAAGAAGCAATTCCTTCCTTAAAGGAAGAGGTCAAAAAACAAACTACTCATGGCATCTGCCTTGGTTCTCACAGCAGTCAACAACCAGATGAAATGAAATTCTGGAAAGGCAGGACAGACAGCAATGAAATGAATCCTCTCTTCCTTGGATTTGCACACTGAGGCTTAAAGGTTTCACCACAGCAGCATTATTTGCCATTATACAGGAAATTATGTAAAAAACCCCTTTTGATTTAACAGCTTGGAATTACCCCTAATTTCTCCCTTTGTTGTCCTCTTAAGGAGAAATTGTTTATAAAGACTTTGAGCTTTATTTATTTGCATTTTACACAAGATCAACAACAGATCTTACCCAACTCCACATAAACCCCTTTCTGAGGGTCACATTTCTGGGGTTTGTTCCTCCTTTTGACCCTGGTATCTGTAAGCTGAGGATTCACAGCAGTTTCCTGCTGACAGGAGAACAGAAATGAAGTTATTTATTAGGCTATTTAAAAAAAACCCTCACTTGTAATTATTTAAACCATGGCAGGAAGGGCTGATAGAAATACTCTGTCACAAGATTTTGTAGCCTCTCTGCAGAGATCCAACACAAGTAATTTGTTAAATTGATATGGGCAATGGAATGTGTCAATAGAAACAACTATCATGCATTTGACAGATCAAAACATGAACAGTTTGATCTTACAAGCAGGACAGACAAGTTTTCAAGTCTAGTTTCAGTAAAAGACTGTAACATAGAAATATCATCTATAAGTTCAGGTTCTTTATGCAAACATCTTTTTGAAGCAGGTTAGGAAGTCATAAATATGTAAATGCCCTTGTCCAGGTATTATTCAAGTCAAACAGCAATCTCAGAGCAACCCAAAATCTCCTACTTCCTTCACTGATGTATATGCACTTATTTACATTCCAAATAAACTTCTAAACAACCCAGGAAAATAAAATGGGGAAAAAAACCCAAACAATTACCAAGGTGAAGTTTTCTTGTCCATTTTCTTCAGCACCTTTTCTCCTGTTCCTGAAGCCCCTACTTTGAACGACTGAACTTTCTTTACCCACGAACTCAGCAGCAGTGGCTTCTGTGGATGTTTTATGAATCTGATGACTCTTTAGAACTGAAAAATGTTAATAGGGGAAAAAAAAATAATGTTTATACTGAGTATGACACAGCTTTATATATTAATAAAATATCCTTGCCCAGGCCCTATGCACCTAGTGCATGTATGGCTGAAGTACAATTATCAAAGAATGAAATCTTGTTGAATTATTGGTCTGATTGTGTTTTTTCTGAGTGCTCTTAAAACTGCAAAGTCTTGACCTCACCAACTGATTTTTCCAACCAATTTTGCTTATACAGATAACCCAGCAAGAACAGGATCTAATACTGCTGATTTTAGAATGGCTGAGGGAGTTGAAAAGAATTTGAAAACAAAGTATTTTTCACAGCACAATATACAAAGCCCCTCCCCAAACAAAAGTCCCCTGCCCCCAACCAGAATGTCTTGTCTATCAAAACAGAAACAGTCACATGTCTGACTTGCCAATGCCCTTTACAAAGCACTTAGAATAAATTTTCATTCCCAAAGGATCTATCTGAATTTTGATAATTCTTCCCATATTTAGTATTAAATGGGATACCCTGTAAACAATTATAAATGTCAAAACCTTATTTAAAAAAAAAAAAAAAGATGGGGGCATACATTCACACCACTTACACTTCACTCCAGTGTCAAGCTCAAAAGCATGGATAGTTTCCAACACTCCTTCGATGAGTTGCTTAAACCTGGAATTTTCTTTCAGACTCCTGAAATAACATCAGTACTTGAGCTGCTTTAAGACAAACGACTACAAATACTCCTCTTAGAACATAGGCTGAACAAAACAAGGGGGAAAACCCTCAAGTGGAAGATGAGACAATGAGAAATGATAACCCAGTTCCCCCAACCAACCCTTACCAGGTGCAGTAAAACTATCACAAAAATGAACATTTCATATTTTTCCTCACGTAGGTTTGGGAGAGTTGCAGTGATTGAACAGTGATACAGCACAAATATCTGTTAACAGAGGTGTGTTCCTCTGCAACCACTGAGGTAAGGCACTGCAGTTACTCCTTTAGGCATAGACAGGTTATTTACTAACCAGTTTTTCTTCTTTATTTTAGCCTTATGCTGAGGCATTTTAAAGACAACTTTGCTCACAGTTCAAACCCCTCATTCCCAAGCCCCCTTACAAAGACAGGTTTCCCACCTCTTGGTAACTTCAGTCTTACACAGAGGACACTGCACCACCCCTTTTTTCTTCTTGCTGAGCAGTTTGAACATGCAGAACCTGGGCAAAAAAAAATAACAGCAGTCTTGATGGTAACAAAAGGAGGAGATTAGCACTGAAGAAGTATACGTGGAAATTAAAAACAGGTTGACTAAGCACTGCACTTGCAACTTTTCAAACCCACCTGCAGAATATGTGGTCGCATTTTGTTGAAACTGGTTCTTGGAGCACATCCAAGCTACAAAAAGAGAACCAAAAATAAGTGGACAGAACTTACAGACAGTGTTGGGATCCATATCTAAGTAGAACCTTTGCTATTTCAGCGTTTGTTTGCTGAACTACAGAGCTCACTTTTCAGAGACAAGGGGGGAAAAATCCACCCTGGTTTACAAACAACATTCTAATAGAACCAGATAATTCTTTTTCCCTCTCTGGACAGAGGAGTAGCAAATTTAGGTTGTAAGAGAAAAGCAAAATTGACTAGAACACAAAAGCAAAATATACCTTCTGTCTTACACTTTGTCACTTGAGCCTTACAAAACATCAATATACTTAGTCCTCAGCAAGAATCCCTTTGATTTCTCGTAAGTCATTGAACTGACAAAACGTTTGCAAAGAAAGGAGGGGGAAAAGATAAAAAACAAACAAACGAAAAAACCCTCCTCAACCATACTGATATTACTCCCGGGCATACCATATCGGGCACTCCAAGTTCTTCTGCATGGCCGAAAGCACATTTTGTATGTGCCCAACAGTAATCACCGAGGAGTCCATCCTTCACATCCAGAAACAGCCTAGAGAAAATAAAGAAATAACAATCAGTTTTGTTTCCTCTCTAGTGCTTTGTTTCTGCTCCAGTGCGTCCCACCAGCGTCCCCTCCCACACGGCTCTCTCCAACCTGTGGAATGGCATCAAATACTTCGCTGCTACCACTTTTTGAGTAGCAGTTCAGAGCAGGGGCGAGCTCTGACTGAACGAGCTGAAGCTGGAAGGGTTCACTGCGGCTTTCAGCAGAAACTCCGAGCGCAGAACAGCGGGGAAAAGGGGGCGTTCTAGGCGGGAAAAGGCGCAAAGTAGAAAGCAGACGCGGTTATTCAAAGGACTCCGGGCCAGCAGAGATGAGACCCCGAAGCAGACACCGCGAGCTCGCGAAAACAAAGCGAAACCACCAGAGCTTACCGCGGCGGCGGCAGCTCGGGAGGGCCCTTGCGGTAAGGCCCTGTGCGCAGAACGATGCGAAGCGCGGCAGCACGCAGCTCTCTGCGCTCACTCAGCCCTCACGGAGAGCAGGAACCGTGGCGTTCAGGGCGGCCGGGGCAGGGGATGAGGGGCAGGGGATGAGGGGACGGGACAGGAGAGGAGGGGACGGTGCAGCCGCTCCAGCCCGGGGATGGCGGTGCCTACCCCGTCCCTCACCGCCGCTTTTCGCGCCCTTCCCGCAGCCAATCAGGCCCGGCTGGGCGGGGCCGGAACGACCACCGCGCCCTCTTATAGGCTCCTCCCGCCGCGGGGGGCGTGGCCGGGGAGGCTCGGGCGCTTCTGATTGGCTCTAGCGCTTCCGCCTGCCCCACCCACACCCCCGCCGTGTGTGATCCCAGCGTTGGCGCAGGCGCGGCCCGCGTGTTGTGCCGGGCTCTGTTTATTGTTGTGGTTCCGCGGCGCCCGGCCCCGCCCCCGCCGCGCCCCCTCCGGCCAATCAGATTGGCGAGCGAGGTGAGCGACAGGCGGTGTGGCCAATAGCGCTGCGCGGAGGGGCTGGGGGGGGGGGCCCGACAGCCCTTCGGGCCGCCATGTTGGGCTGGTCGGGCCGGCGGCCGGCGCTGCCCCCGGGCCCGATGGAGCTCCCGGCGGAGCCCCCGGCGGAGCCCACCGTGACCCTCCGCGTCTCCTGCCGCGGCCACACCCGCAGCTTCCTCGTGTCCGACCCGGCGCGCACGACGTGGGCCGATGTGGAGGCCATGGTGAGCGCGGCCCGGCCGCGGGGTGGGGGGGGGGGGATTGGAACCGTCTTGGTGACAACGCTGACCGTGCCAGCCGTTCTATGAGGGCCCGGCGTCTTCTCCCGCGCCTTTCCCCCCCTTTTCCGAGGCTCTTAGCACTGGGGGTTCGCGCCGCTGCATTCTCAGGTTGCCTTTTAGCCTTTAACTCCTGCTGCGTGCTCAGAATGACCTGAAAAACCTGTTTCGGAGAAAGATCCTTATGGGTCGTTTTTTTTCTCCTGTGCGAGCAGGTGGCCTTAGTTGTGTTCTTTGCCCATTTCCACGGGTACAGACGCTTGGTTTTGGCCTTGTCCCCTTCTGTAAAGTACGCTCCGTTCCTCTTATCTCCCGTTCTTTTGCTCATTGAAGTAGTTGTGGTGAAGTCACGCGTGTCTGTTCACTTGTGTGAAGATGTGTCTGTGCTTTCTGGGGCACCGAATCGCTCACAGGTTTTTGGCCCCTTGTTTCCAGGAACTTTGTGTGTGCTGGTTTGGACAGAACAGTGTCTGACTGGGCCACGTGTGGGTGGGTATTTGCTCTATGAAGGTCTTTCTATATTCTTGGTATAGTCCAAAGTTTTTATTTGGATGCTTGTTTTTAGGGCTGTTTAGTGAAAACTCCTGGCTGAGGCTAAAATTGCGTTGTAAACATTCCCTTGGCTGTTATGAAGCTAATGTGATTTTTTTTTTTTTTTAATTATTATTCATTCTGTAACAACTATTCTGGCTTATTAGCTTACTTTTAAAGTTGCACCTTAAGAGGTCTTGTCACTATTTTATTGTCTCTCTTTCACCTCTTCTCCTGGCTGTCATTTTCCAGAGTGCACACAGGAGCCTCTCGCTTTGTGAATTATTGGAGCTCAAAGCTTGAAATGCAGCATCTTCACTTGTTGCATTTCAGTCCTCTGGAAGAGGCACTAGTTCAGTCTCAAAAACCCTTATTGGCAAGTGGAGCCTGCAGGAATGTCTGAGCCAGTCAGAATCCTGCTTGCATCAAGGCTGGAAGCAGATTAGTGTGTAAGCACCCTGTTGCCCTTAATCTTAGGTAGTCTCAGAGCCCGGGGTGTGTTTGTTCAAGGTGTGGTGTTCTGTTCTAACAATGCTTCCCTAACCAACACCGTGGCTTTCCTCTGCCGTGGGAATTGCTGTTTGAAGAGACTATCAGTTAAAACTCTGCCTTTCCCGTGCTTTAACATTTTACTGAATGTGTTTAAAGAGGGAGAACGCGGTGTCTCGTTCCGGTTTGAGTTTTAGGGGAACTTGCTGAGCTCTTGCTAAGCCAAGTCTGTTCTCTCCCTGCAGCCCCAAATTTGGGGTGTGTTGCTAGGACAGCCTGGCTGTGGCTGTGCCCAACGTGCTCCAGTGGTGCTGTGTAAATCCCACCAGCCCCTCGTCAGCTGAGGGTGTTCTGTCAGGTCTGGGCTGGCAGAAAATGGCCAGATCTTCCAGAGAGTTTCTTGCTGGGAAAGATGCACCTCGTGCAAGTGCCTGGTGCAAAACTGCACAGGAGTTGTGGATACTTAACTCAGCACGTGGAAACATCTGGTTTATGGTTCATTTGGTGCTGCTCACTCTGCCCTGTTGATGTAAAAGCTGCTCAGCTTTATTCTCCAAATTTTGAGAGGTTAAAAAAGTCACCTGTTGTGAGTTGTCTTCATCCAGGTGCTTTCCAACGCAAAAGGTGGTGTTTGGGGATTGTTTGCCTTCCCTTTCACGTTCTACAGTGTTTACCATGGCTGAGTTTATTAACCCCGAGCTTGTCCTCTTAGAATGGGAAGGTTGTTGTCATTTGTTTTGGAGTAAACATTAACTAGGGGAGGTGCAACATGAAAGAAAAGAGTTGGTTCTTTTCATTGGGGAGAGTTGGTAACGGTTGGAGGGAAGGGTTCAGCTTCAGAGGAATGGATTTTGTAAAACAGTCTTTGCTGAAGGGAGAGGTGGAAGGGTTGTGATATTACCCCCAATTAATAATCATGTTTAACTGAGGACACCTGCAGCCCTGTCTCATTGTGGGTTTGTGCTCATTTTTTGTTTTTTTCACTGCAGGTTAAAGTTTCATTTGACCTGGACAACGTTCAGATCAAGTACATGGATGAGGACAATGATGAGGTAAAACACCTGCCACCATCCCACCCTCCCAACAGGTTAACCAGAAAATGGCTGGTGGGAACCTTTCTGCCTCACAGTAATTTGTAGTGGGTCCTTCAGGAGCATCTGTAATGCAGATCAGGGGATGGGGGGGGAGGTTTTCCCTTTAATAAAAAAATAGCTGTGAGTCTGGTGGTTTTATTCTTAATGCAGCATACATATTTTAAAATACTTTTTTAAAAGCTGCTGCCTTTCTTTTTCCCACCCCATTGAAACAGCCAGTGGTTCTGTGTGCTCTCCTTCTGTTGAGGAGCTTGATTTTTGCTTTTATGAGAACAAGATAGTTGTAACTCTGGGTTTTTGCACCCTGTCTCTTCAATCTACACTCCTTCCCCTGGCAAATGTAGGTCCCCTCTCATTAGCATATGTTTGCTTCAGTGATCTGCTGTACTCAAATCCTCTGCTTGCTTTATGCAATTGCTGTAATCTCCAAGCAGATTACTGACTCAGAAAACAAATTGGTTACTTCTGGTTGTCCTTGTTGAGTAACTTCCTGCCTGGCACAGCCTCACCCTCTTGTGTTCTCTCTGTTTATCTGGAGGTTCAGTGGAAAATGGAACTCTTGGACACAGAGGACCTTTTGCAAACCCCATGTTCCACTGCTTGGGTTGCAGCTCAACCAAACTGCAGAGGTGGAGTCCCTGTAGTTATTTTTTTTAGGAAATGTCAGGATGCTCCCAGCAACCTTTCAGGGAAAGATTCTCCCCTTATTTTCCAGCCTGTATCTTATATAGATATATAGAGCATCTTTGAAAGCTCTCTTTGAAATACTGGTCAGATTGACCAAACCTTGTTCAGAATTGTGCAACGCTGGAGGCATTAAACAGCTTCTTGTGCTGGTGATTTCTGTGTGCAGAATGGATAAATGGGTATCTGTAGAGATAAACTTAGAATCACTCACATATCTGGAGTGGTGTTTTGGAAACTCCAAATAAAAGTATGTGGAAGTGTGTTAATTTTTAGAGAATTGCAGAAATCTACCTGTGGCTCTCACTCACTGTTATTTCTCTTTGCAGGTCTCTGTGAATAGCAAAGGTGAGCTGCTGCTTTTATTGAAGTGAAATCAAGAATCAGACCCCCAACCTTTTTTTTGTGGCTTTTGGAGAAGCACTTGGGAATGCTTGCTTTCTGATTTTTGTATTTTATATATCATTTTATATATCATTATATCAAATTCTTCCCAAAGGAAGAAGGTTTTGATCTGGAGGAACAAATTAGATGTGGTTAAATGAATGGAATGTTGCAGCTCTTAGCTGTGAGAAGGTGTGCTTGTTGCTGTATATACAGATTTTTTTCTTTCAGTAGCACGACTTTAAAAGAATTTACAGAAGGTAATGGTGGTTTAAGACTCCCTAAATACTGTGTGCTAGATTTGTATCTGTTTGAGATAGGGAAAATTCACACTTGTCTCTTTTTCTTTAGAGGAATATGAAGAAGCTCTGAAGGTAAATGCTCTCTTTGACTTTCTTCAACTTGTTCACACAGACTCTACTGCCAGAGTATAACATTAAAACTTCTCTTAGTGTCAATGCTTAGCTGCTTCATAAGGAGTTAATTTTATGTAGACAAAATAAAATTGCACTCCTTTACATTTCAGTTTTACTTTATTAATGCTTTTGGAACTTTTTGCTCACAGTCTGATTTTCAAATCTGATCATTTGAAAATAATCATAAATTCCTGGACAGAATCTGTTATTTACTGTCATGTGTGAACACTTTATTTTAGGCTGAAAAATTCCTGTAGGATATCTGCATTATTATCCTTTGGCATGTAATAAACCTTTTAATAAGCATATTGGTAACCTTTAAGAAGTAGAATATCAGTTGATTCTACCTTGGCATCTCTCTCAGTTTTGTTTTTATCTGTTAGTTGTCTCCAGTGCTGTATCTTTACAGATTTTGTATGCTGATTGAAAGTGGAACATATGATGTTTGTGTGTCCTGTTTATTTAGATTGCAGTTAAACAAGGAAATCAACTTCAGATGAATGCCTATGAAAAAAACCCTGCTTGTGCTTTGCAAGGACCTGAAAAAACTGTGACAGAAAAGCTGATGCTTCTGAAAGATGAGAAGAAACCTCTTTTATGCTATTCCATGCTGGCTCAGGGATTACAGGAAGAATTAAAAAATGACAAGGAGCTGACTGTTCAGGTAGGAGCTAGAGCTGCATTATATATTAATTAAAACAATTAGTAGGT